ATTTATTTGCAGGGTCATTTCACAAAAATCGAATAAAAATATTCGGCATTTCCAAATAACATTTTCTATTTCAGATCATTTGTTTATAGTACTAGAATAGTTCATTACCACCCGAGACAGGTTTTTCCAAACGCGACAACTTTTTCGCATGACTGTATTCGATGGGATTTTAGTTTTTCAAATTAATAAATACACGAAATAACACATTTACAAATAAACTAGAATTCAAAAATCGATAGTGTATTTATTTTATTTTTTTGGTAATATGTGGGTTTTATATTACTATACTTTTATCCTCTTTTTGGATCTAACAAAAATTTGAGGAAAAAGTGGCCCAAATTTACACATAAAAAATAAAAATACATTTTTTAAACAAAAGTTGCTCAAATTTACAAAAGAAATAATCTTGAGTTGTTTCAAATAAAAAATATCATAAATGCATTTCATTAAAACCCAATTCATGTTATTTTAGATTTGAAACAATTCAATTAAAAATTTGTCAAAAACAAACTATTTTAATGGGATAAAAAACATTTACATAAATAAACAATATTGACTTTTGTAAAACTTATTTTTTTAATTTCAACAAAAATCACATTGAAAACAAATTATTATTAATTAATTGCAATATTTAAACTTATAATCTTTAAAATGATTACATGTCTGTTATCAATAAAACAGATAAGCTCATTGTTAATTTATTAAGAGAAGGGAAATCATTTTCTTTTATTACCAAAACACTTCATGTATCACCAAACAGAGTTTCTTATAAAAAAAAAGAAAATTGAAACAATGAAGAGTTAATTTCAAAAACTATAGGCAGACCTTCAATTATGACACAACAAAAAATAATAACTTTGATCAAAAAAACTTCTATTAATCCAGAATCAACATGTTGTGATTTGGCTAAATGTATAAATGTATCAAAATCAACAATTCAAAGATACAGAAAAATAAACGGGTTTAAATTTGGCAAACTAAAGAAATCTCCATTTCAACAAAAGTTAACATTAATAAAAGATTAAATTTTTGCAAAAAGGCGGTACTAAAAAAATATAAAAAACGGAAAGAGGCTATTATAAGTGATGATTGAGATTTGGATTGTTTTCTGATAATGGAAACTGTTGGTATCACAAAAGCATGAAAATGAGATATAACAGAATAAATACATTCAATATTGGAAATCAAACTTTACTTATTAAAAAGAATAATAAGATTTTGAATTCAATGTTTTTAACACTTCCAAAACACAACAATTCATTGATGGTTTGGGGCAATCGGAAATAGTTACAAATCACAATTGTTACTGTGTGACAACATACTTAATGCAATTGGCTATCAACACATGCTTGAAAGTAATAAAGTGTTTGATGATATTAGACGAAAACGCAACAAACAAAGAGTCTATTTCCAAGAAGATGGTGCCAAGCCACCCACAGGAAAAACGACATTGAATTTTTTGGAGAACAATAAAGTGAGATTGACTGGGTGGCCTCCTTCAAGTCCGGATTTATCACCAATTGAAAACGTTTGGTCGATACTTGAAAATAGAATTAGAAAAAAGAAAAAATATTTTAAAAACAAAAAGAGTTTGTTTAGAGTGCTGAAGAAAGAATGGGAATCGATACCAATGGATACAATTAACAATTTAATGCAATCGATGGAAAAAAGATTTTCTCTTTGTATTCAAGAAAAAGGTAAATTCATTGGCCATCTTCTTTAAAAAAGTTGCTCGAGAATAAAAGTGTTATTACATAAATTGTATCTTATTTTTACGTGTTTTTAATTAAGATTTTCAACAATTAATGGTTTGAATTTTTGAAAAAAGTTGATATTGAAATATAAATAGATTACGTAGTTTCCCCAAAACATAATGATAAAAATAGACCAAAATATTTTGGGGGTACTATCGACTTTTGGGAAACAGTTTATAATTATTGCTTATACAATAAAACCTCTGAAGAGCGGGTTCTTTTAAGAATGAGCTTTTTTTAACTAAAACAAAAAATAGAGTTCTCTATCGAGCGGGGGTTTTTAAATTTGATTGGTTAAAATGCCCATTTTTAAGAGAACAAAATTACCACACCCGCCCGCTCTTGGGAGGTTATACTGTATAGTGTTTTATAAATTAAAATTTTTTGATTCATTTTTTAAATGGAAAAATAATAAATTATATGATTCAAAATATTTATCCTTTTGAGTTTCTGTACATACTTAAATAATTGATAAAAACACGATCAAAAAATACTTTAGAATATGATCATCAAGATCAATACCAAAACAAGAACGATAATTTCAAATGACCCACTTTTGTTCACACAAACTTCACATTGTTTGTGAAGTTTGTGTCCTTGTCACCTTCTTTGCATGGAGTTTCGTATTTGTCTTTGCACTTCTCACACTTTCCTTCTTTTTCAAAGTACTTCTCTGGACACATGTCAACACATTTGTCTTCAGATAAAAAGAAGTTTTCTTTACACTTGTCGCACTTTTCTTTGGATGCACACATAATGCACTTTTCCATGCACATATCGCGATTTGTGTTGTTTGCTTTATAGAACCCGTCTTCACATTTTTCAACGCATTTCATAATTCCTTCCTCTAACATGTTTGGTGAAACACACTCTTGGCAGTCATTTGCATTGCTGCAGACTTTGCATTTGTCAGTGCATTTCTTGCACATTTTGTCTGCTTCAGATTTGTAATACATTTCTGGACATTTGTCTTTCACACACTTTTTGGTGTCTTCAACTGTTAGAGCATCGTCTTTGCAAGCAGTGCATTTTGTTTCTTCGGTGCAAGTCTTACAATTAGCAACACAAGCAGTACAAACTTTATCTTTTGCGTAATAACCCTCTGGGATTTTTGCTTTGCAAGTATTGTCTGGTTTGAGATTATCAGTTGTGCATTCGGTGCATTTTGTTGCATCAGTGCAAGTCTTACAATCAGTAATACATTTACCACATTTGTGAATTGTATCACTTGTCGTGTCTTTGAAATACCAATTGTCACAAGTATCAAAACACTCAAAGAGGTCTTCTTTCAAATATTTATCATCCTTACATTGATAACATTTATCAACAGCACAGACTTTGCAATTAGCGTGAGCAGCCAAACATACAGCCATATCATACTCGCAGTAATAGTTAGCACCATCAACACTCAAGAAATTGTTTTCACAGTTCTTGCACTTTGGCGTGACAGCCATTTTACCCGATGGTTTTACTGCAAGAGAGACATCAACACACTCAAAGTTGATGCATACCGACTTGAGTACTGTCAACTTTCCAAACTTCAAAACTGTGTAATTTTCAGTGACACAAATATTCAAATTGCTATTCAATTCAGTTTCAGTCGGGGAAGTTGTTGGTTCTGCAGTTCCATGGAAGAACAGGTTCTTTACAGTTGTCAAGGTATCTGATAATGATGTGAGTGGTGCATACAAATTGAGATTCTCAAGTTTAGCACAATCTTTAAAAGCTTCTTTTCTAACTGTTGCAACTTTCTGTGTTCTTGAAACGTTATTTAACTCCGAGCATCCCGAAAAAGTCCCTTCAGGAATTATTATATTTTCAGCCAAATCAGTGTGTTTTAATGTGGTGATTCCGTCAAAAACATTAATTCCAAATGTAGGCACTGTTGGAATTTCAATATTTGTAACAATTGTAACTCCTTTGAAAGCTAAATTTCCAAATTTAGTAACCTCCTTATTAAAAGTTGTTGTTGGCACTGCGGTTTTTGAAAAAGATGATTCGCCAAATGAAGTAACTGCATCAAACCCAATAACTATTGCCAATTTTGTGCATACATTGAATGTAAATTCTGTGATTGTTGTCGTGCCTGTAATAGTTGCTGATGTCAAAGTAGTTGTTTATTTTTATTAAATATCAAATTATAAATTCTTGTTCAAATAACAATATTATATTTTTGTTATTGTAATGTTTTAAACAATTGTTAATATATACTAAATGTGCTAATAGATTTATGTTTAAAAAATGTATCGGAATATATTATAGAACTATTTCAATAAGTTTTTTTTACTGATCAACATTAATCATGTTTATTTTAAAAACGATCTAATAATCTTAAATGAAAAACAGTTATCATCAAGTTTATAATTATTCTATTGAAAACAAATAATTATAACATTTGAAGTTTATGTTAAAAATAATGTCCAAGTAAAGTGACTCCCCCAAGGTGTGCAAGTTAAAATTATTAGTCTTTTATACAGGGAAAGGGCGTGCAAGACTAAATTTTAGTTCAAAAACATTTTATTAAAAATGTTATTTGTTTCCAAATTGTTTCACAAAACACACAACCCTTTAATGCTTGAATTAATAAACTACAAAAAACAAATTAAATTATAAAAATTGGGTAATGGTTTGTCTATGTTTTTAATATAAAAACTGTTTTGTTTCAAGAACGTGAATAAATGTCGATGTCTCTTGTGTTAGCGTAATTCAAAGCAGCAAGATAAGGCATGATAAACATTATGTTTTTCTCTGTGCCATTTTATAGCAAACAATAACAAATAGTCTGTTTAATAGGTACAGTTCATTGTTACAAATCGATGTGTACTGTTGTCCAGAACTGGTCCTTCGATAATTTCCATTGGGTCGCTTTCCCGAAATTGTTGCATAATTTATTGTATTCGAAGTGTGAAAGTTAAAAATTGCAACGTCACAAAGTGTGCAAGTTAAAGAATAGTTTAGTAATAACTTCAAAATTGTAATTAATAATTAAACTAAAAATAATCTTTTTTTTTCAAAATTTCAAAAAATTAATGATTCTATTTTTTTAATAGAAAATTATAAATGAACTATACCTTAACTTGCACACCTTGGGAAGTCACTTTATATATATTTTTTAAATTTTTGTTGATAAACAATAAGAATAAATTAGAAAATTGGATGTTAAACTTTTAATGTTAAAATAAAAACATAATGACAAATATATACATGTATATAATATACAATAAAAAAATAATTTTGTTTTATTGTAATTTATCTGCCACGTTTAAGATATTACTTTCGTTTTAAATTTATTGACTAATGTAATGTTTCAATATATTTTATTTATATCAAATCAAAAAATACATTAACATTTTCTTGTTTTCAAAGATATAAGAAATATGTTTTAATAAAATTGATATAAATTAAATTCAACAGATTATAAATATGTTTGTTATTACATTCATATTAATATGTTGTATTTATTTTTTAAAATATTGTTTCTGTAATATATTCAGTTAATTTTTATATATGTATTGTTTTTTAAATTGTATTAATTATGACTCGTATTACTTTAATTTTTGTGCAAAAATAATGTTTAAAATATGACAAGTATATTTTTATTTAATATTTTCTTCAACAAATACAAAATAAATCAAGTAATTAACATTTTACAATGTTGTTTCATTTTTTACAATTTTTATAAATTACAATTAAATTTTTATTCTTTTGTGTATTTTTTGCCCATAACAACAATTTAAAAAGATAACAAAAAAATATTTTGTTAATTTTCATAAAATCTCATATAATCTTCCAGTTCTTCGACGACTTCGTCAATTTTGATTCGATCTTTAAATTCAAAGCACCACATTTTATCGAGCAGTGAATATATTTTGTCATCTGTTTCTATTCCTTTCTTCAGGTGATTTCCTTTTGACACAAAGTCTGCGATGCTCCATGCAAATTTGAATTCACTTTTAGGGTATGGTTCTTTCCAAGTAAATGTTTCGTACATAGTAATAGCAAACGAAAAGATATCACTCGGCATTTTATATTTTTCTTTATTTAACACTTCAGGCGACATATATTTTGGTGTCCCAATACCTTTAGTAAAGGTCATATTAGTCATCATCATATTAATGTTTCTCGCACTTCCAAAATCTGTCATTTTGGCATTGACCTTTTCATTCATTTCAAGTGAAAACACAAGTAAATTGTCTGGTTTTATATCTCTATGTACAATCCCATTGTGATGTAAATAAGATATCCCCTTCGCCATGTCTAACATGAATTTGGCTTTAATTGCACTTCGTGGAGCTTGTTCCTTCCTCTTCTTCATAAAGTCATTTAAACTCCCAAACTGAGCAAATTCGGTGACCATACAAATTCGACTTGGTATGAAGACAGCGCCATAGAAGTGGACGATGTACTCACATCTAAATTTATCTAACATTGAAACTTCCTTCTCAAACTCTTTTACTTTAGATTGTGTCTCACAACCCTCTTTTAACCGTTTAATAGCTACTTTGTCACCTCTGAAGTCGCCTAAATAGACAATTCCAAAACTCCCTTCGCCAAGTTTCTTAATTTCTTTTAACTCGTGATAATCGAGTTTAGTTGTCATTTCAGTCTTGGCTTTGATTTGAATGTGTTCAGTCATCTCTACTCCTTTTTTAATGTCTAAGCCAATGCACACAATCTTCTCTTCTATGTTACAGGAACACAATGGCGTTAAAAAGACTTCAAATTCACAGGCCTCACCACTTTTTAAATTCACAAGCTTTGGCTCTGTGCGAATTTCGTAGTAGTCGCACCCTTTAATAACACTAAATTGAATCTTCATCCGATTTTTGGATTTATTTCCTACACATAACAATTCACGAGTTTCTTTATCGACGGGAATACTCTCATTTTGTGTGTCGTTATTTTCAAATTCTAACACTTTTTTATTTGAAACAAGCCACTCATTGATTTTGAAGAAATGGATGTTCGACTTCTTCATTGGGAAGATGCAGACGTTGATCATCTTTTTCTTCTCTTTAAGGTGCAAATACAAGAAGAAGATGATTACTATAGTCGTTGCTATAAATATCACAAGAAGTAAGAAAAAGACGACAGGAAGTGAAATGATCAAAGCCAAATTAGGCTCTTTTTTACACGAAAGACCATCATCACTTGGTTTGTATTTTTCTTCACATTTTGTGCACAAATTATTAAAAGCTTCTACACAATATGGAATTTCAGTATAACTCACACAGATTTCATTTTTTAAAACAAAACTTGGGGAACATAAAATACAACTTTTAAGTATTTCACAGGAAGTACAATTATTCAAACATTTCACACAAAGAGGAATTGGAAAATTTAGAAAATAACCTTCTTCACATTCTTTACATCCATACTTAGTTTTGTTGGTACACCCAATTAAAGTGTCATAACTTTGACACAAAGGATTTAAAGGTGCATACAAATAGTAGTCATCTGCACAGTCATCACACGAAATCGCATTTTTGCATGTTGAACACGACGAGTCGCATTTGATACAGTCTTTGTTGTGATAGTAATATCCATCACGACATATAGCACATCCAGTGTTACCAGCCATTGGAAAATAACATTTATCAAGTAATATTTTAGAATCTTGACACACATTTCCAGACATTAACAACAAGTTTTGTGTAAAGTCACAGGAGAGACAATTGGTCGTATTTGAACATGTCAGACAGTTGTTCTTACAATTAACACATTTTGTATTTTCCAAGTAAAATCCGTCATTGCATTTAACACAACCTTTTGGTGTTTTTATTTTGCAATTTGATAAATCTATTTTCAATGATTCTTGTTTATTATCCAAGTTGAATATTTTGTGTGTTGTTTTGTAAATTACTTCTTTATGATCAATATTTGTTGTATAATGATAAATATGTTGTATATTTGTTTGAATCAGTAACTCACATGAATTATCAAATAAAAAGTGTGTTATATCGCATTCAAAAATGGTTTTGATGTTTTGTTGATTGAGTGAAATGTGCGTCTCGTTGTCAGATAAAGAAACACAGTACTTGTCATTTTCTATGTTGGTGATGTTGTTGTTTGTATTATAAAGTGGAAAACATTGCAAACAAGTGTATTTGTTTGAGTGTTCACAATGCAACTCTTCTATTGCAATACATTCATTTTCAACAAGAAGAAAGTTGTCTTTGCATTGTAAACATGTGCAGTCTTTCTTGTACAACTCGCAATTTGGTATTATTGTGCATTGTGTGCATTTATTAGATTTGATCACCAAATTGGTATCACGACATCGAGTGCAGTCACTTCTTTCATTTTGAATGCAATTATCATCACTAAAACATTCTTCGTTTTGATAATTTATCAAATGATTTTCTTCACAATAATATACGTGAATTGATAGATTTTGATATGTTGTGAATGAGCATTTTACTGCATTTTTAGTTGCACACTTTTCACAATTATTGTTGCCATCTTTGTACTCGTCAACACCACATTGGTACAAATACCCATTTCTTGTATTTAGGTTGCTTGGCGCCACACTACATGTGTTGTTGTTTACATACCAATTGTCGGCACAATACAAACATGTTTCTGTTGATCCATGTTGTATGTTGTACTTGCATTGACTTATCTTGTTTTCACAAAGCGAACCAACAGAAATACCATATTGGCAATTTTCGCAATTTGATATTGAATAATATAGACATTGTGTGGAAGGTATTATGCACTCATGTTTACTCATAAATCCGTTATCTTTGCATTTGACACAAGTTGTTGCATCGATATTGTTCACACACATAACATTGTTGTTTACACATGTTTTAGTTTGGTTGTTGAAATACATCCCAGTTGTGCAACTCACACACCGCCCACCTTCCAATTCAAATGGATAAAAACACTCATTACATCGAATTTGATACGTGGAAGTGCTCGTGCAACTCTTGCAATTATCTGTGCCTTCGTAACACTTTCGACACGAATTTGACGTGTTTTGGTATTGCTGCGTTGGGCAAACACAAGCACCATTCGATGCAACAAATCCATTTGTACAAGTGTTACAATATCTATTTGTTTTTGAACATCCATTTTTATCACAATTTGCTATTACAGTACAATTCAAACACTTTCCATTCTCAAAGAAATAACCCATTATGCAATTATTACAATACCTCGATATCGTTAAACATCCATTTTGTGTACAGCCTTCGATAGTTGTGCAACTTAAACATTTTCCATATTCAGCAAAATAATTATTGTTACAAGTGTTACAATATCTTGATGTTGTGCTACACCCACTTGTATTACAATTGTTTATTTCAGTACAACTGTGGCATGTCCCACTTTCTGCATAATATCCACTGTTGCAATTTGTGCACGAATTTTGAGATGCCAAACAACCCTGTGCACAATTAGTTACATAGTAACATGGGTGACACGTTCCTCCGTATTCATAAAATCCATTGTTGCACCACGAACAGGCATTAATTCCATCACACCCCCGAATACATTGATATGAACAAGACACACATTGGTATACATTACGATATTGATAACTTCCTGATTTTATTCGATAATACCCATAATTACATCCATAACACTGCCCATTCAAACCTCCATAACAAGAAGTGCATCCAGTGTTACAGTTATTACAAACGCCATTTTGGATGTATTGGTTTGTATTTGGACACGTTGTGCAATAATTATAATTTGTGCAATCGCCACATGCAGAAGAACATTGTTGACAACTCATTGACGAGTCAAGGTAATAATGTGAAACACATTGATCACATTTTAGGTTGGGTTTGCAATGTCCCGATGCACATTTGTCTTCACATTTCACACAATCAAATGATGAGTAATAATACCCACTTGCACACGTAGTGCAACTTGTGGAACTACCTGAACATTCTCCACATTTATCTGCACATTTGAAGCAATAAAGACTTTGGAGAAAATAACCAGAATTGCAACTGCTGCACACCCACCCTCCATCAAATTGATTAACACACTGATTAACTGCACAGTTTTGGCAATACAAACAAGTCCCCCCATTCAGTATCCCTCCAGTTTTACATTCAGTGCAGTAATTTCGATCATTCACAGCACATTGCTTACAGTTTGGATTACAAATTGTATCTAATTTTAAAGTGTCGAGTGTATTGTATTGCAAACACTGACATCCATTACCATTCTTTTGTTCACCGCCACATTTGTATCTGAGACACTCTCTTTCTATATATTGCTTTGTTGTATTTCCAATTTTTTGTGTTGTTATAATATTTTTACGTTCTTTTTTCAAATTGTAAATTGAGTTTGATTTTAAGAACTCCACAAATGTGAAATTGCCAGGTGACACTTCAACATACAAAAACACGTCTTTCTCACACACAATAGAATCAACCAAATTACTTTGGTTCTTAAAAGGTAAATAGTTGTTAACAGCCAAATTGTCACAATTATCACTGTCGTCAACACATTTTATATTGTCGTTATATTTGCACCACTTTAGACTTAAAGCATTCACAAACAATAAAGCCACTACAACAAAATACATGACATTTTAAGTTCTGTTTTTTAGAAACAAAATCATGGAATTTAACATCATAACATTGTTTTCCGTTTGTTTTTGTAATCAAATCATATTTTTTATATAAATATATTATAATTAAAGTGACTTCCTTAGGTATGTAAGTTAAAATTTTTTTACAGGGAAAGGGAGTGCAAGACTAAATTTTAGTTCTAAAACATTTTATTATAAAAACGTTATTTGTTTCAAAATTGTTTCAAAAAACACACAACCCTTTGGTGCTTATATTAATAAACTACAAAAAGCAAATTAAATTATAAAAATTGAGTAATGGTTTGTCTATGTTTTTAATATAAAAACAGTTTTGTTTCAAGAACGTGAATAAATATCGATGTCTCTTGTGTTAGCGTAATTCAAAGTGACAAAAAAATGTGATAAACATTATGTTTTTCTCTGTGCCATTTTATAGCAAACAATAACAAATAGTCTGTTTAATAGGTACAGTTCATTTTCTCAAATCGATGTGTACTGTTGTCTAATACTGGATCTTCGATAATTTCCATTGGGTCGCTTTCCCGAAATTGTTGCTTAAATTATTGTATTCAAAGGGTGAAAGTTAAAAGTTGCAACGTCACAAGGTGTGCAAGTTAAAGTATAGTTTAGTAATAACTTCAAAATTATAATTAATAATTAAACTAAAATTAATCTTTTTTTTCAAAATTTCAAAAAATAAATGATTCTATTTTTTTAATAGAAAATTATAAATGAACTATACCTTAACTTGCACACCTTAAAAAGTCAATTTAATTAAATTGAATATATTTTTGGTGGTGTATTTTTTTAAACATAAAAGATTGATAATAATTATAATCAAATTATTATACAAAATAAGTTTAAATAAAATAGATTTTTTTAATACTTTTTTGTTTCTTTTTCAAAAACATTCCAAATTATTCCTTTTAGAATATTTGAAATTTTGAAATTATTATTATTATTAACACTTAAAATAATAAAACAAATATTCTGTTGATATTTTAAGTGGAATTTTCAAGTGACTGATAATATTTATTTGAAGTCTAAAATATACATAAAATACTTGTTACAATGAAAAAATATGACAATTTTTGTTTGCAACGAATGTCTATTTATATATTATGATCCTTTCCATAATAATCATCCCGAGAATGTCAATAAAAAGGGAGTTCATGATTTAATTCCAAAAATAATAAAAAAGCAAATATTCCAGGATGCTGTTGATGGTATAAGCACACCAACATCTCGATTAAAAAAAGAATTAACATACAAACCACAGACGATATATGATATAAGAAAGATAGCTTATAAAGATCAGACAATGAAACAATCTAATCAACTCAAAACATATTTTGAGTCACTTTCTGATTTTTCAACGATAATTTTCACTAATTATGAAAGACGTTTTACTAGCTGTTATTGTTTAAATATTGTTACAATGAACGAATATGACAATTCCTGTTTGGTTGTTGATTACACCCATTGTACCAATAAATTTTCTAACCCTTTATTTGCTGTTGTTTTCAAAAAGAATAACAACACAAAAATTTTGGTTTTTGGTTTTTGAGAGACGCTTCTAAACTGACTTTTGAAAAGTTTTTCCGAGAACTCAAGAAAAACTTGGATTTTGTAAAGAAAATCCCAATTGGTTTTTCATGTGACCGTTCAGAAGCTCAATCAGCAGCGATATACTCCGTATTTGGACAAGAAACAAAAATCAGACATTGTTGGCTTCATATCCACCGAAATTTGGAAAAGCACTTCACTCAAGACGACGAGATTGTTAGTCTTTTTGATCGGATGTTTGTTGATTGTGTTGATTTGGAAAAATCTGAGGCTTTATTCTTGGCAAAAATGATGTTGTTAATGACTTTTGAAAAAAGGAAGAAAAGCATCCAATAATCGAACCAAATGAAAATCAAGAATGTTATTCTGTTTTTTCTCAATTGCTTTTTCAATTCAACTTTTTCCACAAGAAAATGTAAAACATCGTTCGAATAAATTTAATGTACTGAGGACTTTATTTGATATTAAAAATACTTACTTACCTTCTCAATGCTGCAAAAATATTTACCCCACTTCTAATCTTGCTGAAGCTTTTTTAGTCATGCAAAAGCACCAATACATGGGAAAGTTACTACACTTATAGATGCAACAAAATCATTTGTGTTATACACACACCAACTTCAAGCGAATAATCAAGTGTGGTCAGAAGAACAAATGAATGCATTTAAAATGTTGATATCAAGTGATTAGATGTTGAAATTGTCTGCAGAAACACTATTAACATTGTTGGATAATTTTGACATATTTGTATGTATGAGCAAATGTGGAGTTGGTAATGCATGTAAGTGTGACTGTTTTACATATTTAAAAAGTGGAATTCCTTGTTGTCACATGATGTTTTTTAGAAAACATAGTGGTGGAAATTATCAAGATGTGACTTGTCCAAGTGGTTATTTTGTTGATATCAGAGGTAATAGAAGGCAGAATGTTACAGGTCCTTGTAATTATCCTCTTTTCACCGAAAACGACTTTGCTGATACTACTGTTATAAACAATGGGCTTCATTGTAAATATTAAATTAAAATAGTTGTAGAAAAAGGAGCACTTAATGAGGAAGATATTAAAAATAAGTTGTTTGAACTTACTTACAATCTTCGTAGAAAAACCATTTTTCAAAAAGAAGTAAATTTTTTCAATGAAGTTGATCAATTGAGAGAAGATAAAAAATGTTATGATAAAGAATAAATAAGAGATCCCAAAATACTTATTTGTGCTGGAAAAAAACAAAGAAAAACTTCGAAATAAGTTGATGAATCACTTATCTTAATAAGAAAAACAAGAAGCCATAATAAAAACCAAAAAACAAACAATGAGAAAAAAACAGAAAAGATGCCAATTAAATCAATTTTTAGGTATTTGGTTGTTAATAATTTATAACAAATATTGTTAATTGCTTTAAGTTAAATTAATTATTTGTATTATTTTCTGTCGACTGAATTATTTTTATTTTCAATCAAATTTCTTAATTAATATATAATTTATTTTAATTTATTTTTTTAAACACAACAAATTTGTTTGTGTTTTTAACAAAGGTTGTGTTAAATAATTAAAATGAATATTAAGCTTTTATAACTATAAAATATTTTATTTAAAACACATGAAACAATTAAAAAATAAATAATTGTAATTTTATTATAAATTAAACAATTTTATTAATAACAAAAATGGTATATTTTATAATAACTAATGGTAAAAACAAATGACGTAAATGGTTTGGGTTCAAATCTTATTTGCCGTTTCATAGTCGTCAATGGCAATTTTTTGCATTAATAATACTTATAAGATAGTTTAATTATTATGGAAAGACTATAAAAGTATTAAAAGTATTAAAAACAATAAAAACAATAATAGTTTTATTTCAAAAAACAGATCAAATAGTATTTAATAATTGACTTTAAATAAATAAAGGGATTCATGAGGATTGTTAATTTTTCTGAGGATGGTAAATATCTTAAACATAATTTCTTTCAATTTAGATTTTTTTGCCTAAGATCAATAAGGTATATTTTGAAACACGTGATTTTCTTTAAAATGCTATTTATGGATTTTTTGAAAGATGATTCTTTCAGTTGATTTTTACAAAAAAATAATCTACTTCTATTTTCTGATTTACCACTTGACTAACCTTGGTTAATATGAAAACAATAAAAATTAATTTAATTTATCGAAAAAGTCGATTTTTTAATCAAAATCACAAAACAAATTAATAGAACAATTTTTAATCTTTTTTACAAAAAATACAATTTATTATAAATCAATTCATGATATTTCAAACAATAAAAATTGATAGCAAATAACGTTCTGATAATTAATACTTTGTGCGATGACAATTTATGTATTTGCGCAAATTCAAAACGCGATGTTTTGGATATCGATAAAACAACGATTGATAAATAAACAAATTTGAAAAATTATTGTTTTTGTTATAAACAAATTTATTTATTTTTAAAAACATACACACACAAGAAATATATGTTTATATTAATATTTTATACAATATTAATTCTCAATAGAAATGTGTTCAATTTATTAATCAATTTTATATATTATTTGGCGTTTTTGTTGTGTTTTGACGATTTTTGATATAATCAATTATTAAAACTCTCTTTATAAAAATTCTTTAATTTTATTATTTATTTTAAATCAATAATGACAGTGCTATAAATATCTCTGAGGATGGTAAGTCGTGTAACAAACAGACATTATCAACACAGACTTAAACATCTAAAAAGTGAAATGACGTGTTCCCATATTCAAAAATAGTAACTTACTCAATATACATTTCAGATAGATGTAAAAGTGTAAACTTTCTATTTCTGTCATCCTCAGAAAATAATTGCCATCCTCAGAACTGTAAATCTGTTTAAAACATAAGTTAATATCAAAATGAAACATTCTTTTTAAAATATACACAATATGATTAACTTTGTTATTACAATAAATTTGAATAATTGCATAAATTACAAAATTATTTATAAATTTGTTATTATAATTACATTTTTATAAAATCAGTGTTTTCGACTTTTTCAATTTTCATTTTGATTAAAAACAATTATCAATTTAAACGTAAATTTCAATCGTTTTGTTATTAAAACGGATTCGTAAATAATATCAATAAGTTTATAATCATAATGTGAACAAGTATAATTCACACTTTATTATTTCCCGTCTCAAGTAAGCGAGTTATAATTATTGTTTTTGTTTACTGATTATTGTGGAGATTTTTTGATTGTTTTTAATCTTTTGGCATTTATGACAAATTATTACCATCATTTAAAAATCGAACTTTGACTCGAAATATTAAGTGTAAATTATAACTTAAATTATGAGAGTGAGCTTTATGGGGAAATGAACCTTATGGATTTGTTTTTTGTATCCTCAGAAAAATATTTTTTAATGAGGATAGCTTTGATCCTGAGGATACACCT